CCTTGAGCAGCATCAATGCCATTCTTGCCTGTGCCACGGTACCTGGGCCTCACCACGAGGCAGGTTCTGCGGATGGAGAAGCAGGGGCACGTTGGCGATGAAGGGGGCGACCAGGTCTGTGAAGTCCTGAGCAGGGCCTGCAGGGGCCGGCGGCGCCTTCTGAAACTTCAGGGCCCCCGTGGGGCTCTCCCGGGGCTGGCACAGCTTGATGGTCCCGCACACCACCTTCGGGTCCGACTGGGGGAGCAGAGGGGTGGTGGCTTGGGGCCACTTTTACCCCATCGCACTGCTACACCACCCCCATCCCTGCGTCATTTCCACCCCCATCTCCATCTCACGAATGTTTTGTCCCAGGCTCTGAAAGCCTCCCTTGCCCTGCAAGCCCCCGAGACAACTCAAACTGTGGAGAAACACAAATCCAAGGGGGTCCTCCCGCCAGTTACCAGCACTTGCTTGCCCAGCTGGACGAGGATGAGGATGCCAGTGTCCACCATCTTCTTGCACTTGACAGACCAGTCCTGGAAGGGCAGGTACTGGCATTTCTTATCCAAAAAAAGCCGTAGCTTTTCCTAGGTGATAAGGGGAGAGCTCAGGGCTGGGCTGGCCCCATAGTGGAGTGGAGGGACATACCAGCCCCACACCACCCCCTCCGGCCTTGACCCACCTCGGTGCAGTTGTCTTGCAGGATCTTGCCCACCACGGAGACCGCCACCTGGCACAGGTGACAGGGGATCCCCTTCTGCTGAGAGAGGGAATGCGCTGGGATGCTGCCATGACACCCAGACCCCCCCACTTGCTCCCCAAATCCCAACCCTTCATCCCAAAAACACCCAACCAAAGGGCACTTGGGAATATTCTAGGGTACCCACTCATTTTTGTAGCTCACGCTGCGGATACATCTCTGTCCAAGAGCATCAGCGGTTGCTCCTCTGAGTGCCCAGCATTAGGGCAGGCAGGCTGGGATTCTCCCCTCAGCCTTGCATTTTGGGGCAGGATGGGTGCATCCCTCCATCTCCCTGCATCCCCCCCACCTCCCAGCGTGGTTACCCCCAGGGTCTGGTCCCAGACGTTGATCCGGCAAAGCTCCAGCGCCCCGCACTTGGCTGCTGTCGCCACATCGCGGCACCAGTCCTCTGGCCGCTCGCCACATTCGTTGAGGGGGCTGGCCCCGGCTGCAGGGGTGGGGAGAGGACACCATCAGCCCCCAGGGCACCCCAAGACCATCTCCTGCCCCACACTAACCTCCTCACCAGCACCCCAATCCCAGCCCTGCCCTGCGAGCCAAGGGCGATGCTCCTCGCCCTCCTGCTGTGACTCACCCTCAGCTTTTGCAATGATGGTGGCATCACTGGGTTCTGCAAGTGATTTTTTTTAAGCCCAGGACCACGTGCTGCTGGGTTTTCCAATGGGATGTCACAGCAGCTTTGGGCCAGCATCAAATGTTAAGTGAATTTGGGGATCATCCTCAGCCCTGCAGCGCCTTTCCACATGCTGGGGAGGTGACTGCTTATAAAAACAGCGATAAATCTTGCAAAACGAGCAAACCAGAGGTGCCAGTGCTCAGCCCCGCACAGAAGACGGTTAGCCACGCCGCAGCTCCCAGCAATGGTTGAGCAACTTCAGTTCTGGGTTTTGGGTTTTTTTTTTCATTTCCTCCCAATGACAGAATTTTCTCCTGACTGTAAATCCCCGGCATGGCAGAGGCGGCATCACCTGCCCGGCTGGCCAGGCAACATGGTGGCATGGCGCAATGCTGGCAGTTTAATTGCCAACTTGGCATGTCAGGATTCATTCGCAATGGGGCAAGTGTTTATTCCCAGCAGGGGCTGTGCCCACCCAGCATGCAGCTAGGGAGGAGGCAAAGAGGCGGCACAACCCAAGCCCTTTGCTGCCCTGCTTTGGCCAGGAGTTGCTCTGCAAAATCGGGGCGTACACGGGGAGCAGCACATGAACAGACAGATGACAGACCCTGCTGCATACCCTCTTGCAGGTGGCGTTTCTAAGCAAAGCACAAACCCCTGAAGAGCATTTGCATCCAGCTTCTACCACCCAGCCCTGGCCATATGATTTTGCACAGCAGAAATAAAGGCAGAAACTGCTCCTTCCACCCACCCTGCCCTTATCAGGTTTCTCCCCAAAAGCTGCTTTTCCTGCATGCTGGATTCTAGCAACACCTTTGGCTCATCCATGGGACTTGTTGGGGCACCGGTTTAAGGTGCCCAGGGCCACCCCAGCAGGTCACCAGGGGTAGGGACTGCAGAGAGGGGGCTCCCAAGCCCCCCACCAGCCCCACCTTCTCCCAAAAGTGCTGTCGCAGCTTGGCAGGTGCTGGGCGGTGTTTCAGCCGATTACCCCATCAGGCTGACAGCAGCACCAGGGCAGGAGAGAGCCCCAGGGCAGGGCGAGTCCCACTGGTTTCCCACGCATGGCTTCCCACACACTGCTCCAGCAGCACGATGCTGCGGTCACCACATCAGCTGACAGAGACACATTTATTTTTTTAACCCTGGTGCTAGCATCAAGGCAAATGGGAACAGCAAGTCAGCAGAAACGTTAAGGGGCAGCACCGAAAAAAAAAAAGAGAAGAGGGGAGACAACAACCCCACAACTTGTTTCTGAGCTGGTCCTGCCTGACCCACAGACACGATCATCTCTCACATTCCTGTGCTGGAGACTGGACCAGCAGCATAAGGATGCTGCCAGCAACAGCATGAGGGTATTTGGCTGGTCTAAAAGAAACCAGTAGTTTGGACCTGCACCCTTCTGGCTCATGGTGGCTCTCAGCTCTGTTCTTTCTCCTCACTCTGCTCAAGCTCAAGCTCAGGCAACAAGTACTGGGCTGGAAAAATAATTAATACTAATCACAACGCCCAGCTGCTGAGAGCTGGAAAGCATCACCACCAGGCAAGCAACCAGGGCAACTGGTGCCCTGTGAGCTCTCCTCCACGTTTCAGGGCCATGGCGGAGCTGCCTTGGGCTGACAGGCATCCAGGCAGCAGGACGTGAGACGGTGCCATTTTTAGCAAAGCCTCAGCACGGAGCATGGGGCGAGGCAGTGATGCTCCTGCACCACCATGGCATCCCCAGACCAGCCAGGACTGAGCTACCCCTGGCTGCCAGGCCCCTGGGGTGGGGTGCGCTTTGCTCAGGGGGGGATCCAGCACCAAGCTCCAGATCTGGCAGGTCTGCGCCAGCATTACACGAAGCCTCAGAGTGCACCAGCCAAGCCGGCAGAGCCTGGCAAGCAGGTTGTGATGTAAACCCTGGGGGTGGTGGCGTGGGCCCCGCTGCCCCAGTTCCCGGCCTGGCCCACACCCCTGTTACAGCAAAAACCATAAATACACTCTTCCCAGCATCAAAATCCTTCTCCAATACTTGCAGTGGCCCCCCATCCCACAGTCCCACCAGCCGCGCTGTGCCATGCAGCCGAGCTGCAGCCACAAGAGCTGCCGCCGGCTTCCAGGGCAGGCATCACCCGCAGACGGACGTGCCGAGCGTGGGTGAACTTTCCTGCTCTGCTTGTTGCCGGCTGGAGCACCTCGGCATGTCTCCCCACACCACTAGGCCATGAGTGCACAGTCACGACTCCTCCACCACAAAGCCAGCACCCGCGCAGGTCACACTGGAGGAACACAATGGGCCAACCCTGGGGTAATTAGGGTGCCAAAGGGGTTCTTCCCTTTAAAAAGTGGGGGTTTTTTCCTTACAATAGCAGGGCTCTACAACGGCCCCAGGAAAATTTCCCCTGGAATAAGTGATTTCCCCTCAAGCAAGGACTAGGGTTCTTAAACAGGCTCTTCCCAGCTTATTTCCTGGGGACGGGCAGGGAATGAGCCAGGTATCCCTTTCTCACTCTTATCCAGGGGATACCTAGGGGACAGCTGCATAAGCTCATCCGCAGGAAGATTTGCTCACAGATACCCAAAGCCCCAGTGATGAAAGGTCTCCAGAGGTGCATAGAGCTGTAGCATTGCACCCAGTTGCCCTACCCAGAGCTTGGCAAGCCACAGCAGAGACAGCTTCCTGCCTCCTGCACCTCATACAAGGCCCCTAAGGAAAGGGGCAGCTTCAGGTGGCACCATGGTCACCCTGTCGTGCAAAGACAACAAAGCCATTTGCCCGATCACACGTACACAGCCACAGCAGCCCTCTCCCCCATCACTGCTGAGACACCCCATCAGCTAGCCCCCCTCCTTCCGCACCCCAGCAAAACACCGGCTCCATCCAAATCCCCACTGTCAAAAGGGAGAAAACAACTTTTTGCCCCAAAATCATCTTTAAGGGCAGAAGTTGCAACGCTCACATCCAGGTAGACAAGAGGTAAAGCAGCCAGTAGTGGCACCTGCCCCAGCTCTCCTCTGGTCTAACTCCAATGCCACAGAGGGATGAAGCAGCAGACTGTGGAGCTTAAACACTACAGCTAAGAAGAGTTTTGGGGTTTACTGGGCTCTCCTCAAGTCCTACCCCCAGGCCTGGCCTTACCTTGGTAGGAGCCCAGGCACACAGAAAGGATCAGCACACAGCCACTCCATTTGCTCTCCATGCCGTTCCTAAGATAGTCCTCAGTGGCTGGTTCCTCTCCTGTGCTGCTCCCAGACTGAATATTGGATGGGTTGGGAAGAAGTAGGGAGAACCCACACCTACGCAGGGCAATTACCCCACCCCTCTCCTTACGCCTTGATTATAAGATCACCACCAGCCTGCAAGTAGAGGGAGGGACCAGAGGCAGGGAGGCATCCTGGGAAGTCAAAACCAGCCCAGAACCTGCTGCCCGACACCATCCCCACCACTCCTGGCTGCAAAGGGTGGGCATGGTGGGGAAAACTGTCCTAGTGCTATGTGATGTAGCCATTTTCTGTGCTTTTCCCTGAATAGAGCGTCATCCCTTACCAAAAAGGGCCAGCAGTGCAGATATGAAAGACCAGTAAATTTAGAAGTGAATTAATGGTGTAGTTTGCTTAAAGCATTTAAAAGATGTTTATTTTATTCAAAATAAAGCGAGGCATGAAGACAAAAGGAAAGCCATGTTAAATGCACGTCAGCACTGAAGCCTTTTATCACACAGCTTCAGCAAGAACTCCCTCCAGCCTGCGCAAGGCAGAGAAATTGCAACATGGGGCTATTGCCTCATCAGGCCTTGCGTTCGTCCAGGGAAGAGCAGCGGTGGCGATCCCTGGCAAGCCTCTTCAACCTGCCGCCACACTCAATATAACACAGGCTTGATGGGACACGCACATTGCAAGGCGACGCAACTGAACAGGAACCTACGTCCTGTCATTCAGCCCTACATTCCCAGTGACATTTTGGGGCATGCCTTCTCCTGGATCTGCAGCAAAGGGGAAGCTAATATGATCCTTCAGCAACTAGCACATAACAGGGAAATGAAACAAACTTATTGGTTCACAGAAGTTTTTATTGTTCATTAAGGAAGCTTTTGTGCAAAAATCAAGACAATGTTCTTTAGAAAGCAACTGCATGTGTCCCCCCAGTGTGACTAACTCCAGTGGGTCAGGTGCCACAGTCCACAGGAAGGGAGAAAACTAAGAGACTCCTAGCACTAGCGCAGGATTGCCCCCAGCTCACCTCACCTGACAGGTTGCTAGCATGAATCCTTCACTACTAAAAACCCCCCAAAATTAAAACCTTACCAACCTGCAAGAGCAAGTGTCAATCCATCCCTACCTCCCCACAAAAAAAAATCATGTTAAGAGAACGCCATCCAGTTTAAGAGATCAAATACCATACTAAACGCAGTGGTGTAACACAACCTGTACCTCCAGGGCAGCGACACTGAAGAGAGCCCACTTCCTATCTGGCATATCTACCCCAACTGGGACACACCACTGGAACCACTGCACAAGCCTGCCAAGAGAGAAAGCTGCAGGTATTTTACATCTTTAGGGGAAATTATATTATACTTTTTTTTTTTTTAAAGCCATGAGTGCTTCAGCGTTCTGTACAAATGCAAACAGGACAGACAAACCGGTATTGCTATCTGCCAACACCGCCCAGACATTTAGTATGTACATGTACGTAGCAACAAAAAAGCTGTAGTCCAGTGGTTTTCCATTAAACTGCATGATAATTACTTTGCTAAAGCATTGTTACTGAAGCTCACGCCTCACCCAAGACACCACAGGAACAGCAGCAGCTGCTGGCACCTTTCTGAACAGGACTGG